AAATATTTTTATTTTAACTTTAATTTTTTCATTCATCTGTAAAAAGTTCTCGAAGATAAAAATGAGTAACCAATTTAAAAAATAAAATAAAACCTTACACCTACCTACCTTCATCTGACAAAATTATACTCAATTCAGTTCATTTTTTTCATAAGTTAAAAAAAAAATAAAAAAATTCTCTAAGATAAAAATGAGTAACCAATTTAAAAAAATAAAACCTTCAACAAAATTATATTCAATTCAGTTTGTTTTTTTTTGCTTGTGAAAAAAAATCTGTGTGCAGAACATAATCATCAGCATGTTTTACAACCATTTCAAGTGGATGAAATGTTTCAACAATACAGGTCTGTGACACACTAAGATTTGTTGCAAATTTATGAGTTGTTATTCATCAATCTTTAACAATTTATTTCTGCAATTTCTCCTAAACAGCCTTTGGGGCCCATGCATTTTGTATCCTTTGGTTCAAAACTTCCGAAATGAAACTTTCAAAACCATATTTGACACATTCAGAGTTTAGAAACATCTTCCCCATACACAGTAAAAGTACTTTTTTACAGTTTGTATAGCATGATATCCTTTACAAAACTTAAAAAGCATGCATAATATATGTGATGTGCATTTTATCTGCAGACATTCCACTTGTTTTTATTCAAATGAAATGTGATGTAAAAAAAAAGTTTAAAATAAGCTTCAAAACAAAGAATGCAATCTCACATCAGGAATAATGTGTTAAATTTCACAATTTATAATTACATCACATATTTATATTAAGTAAAAACAATTGTTAATAAAACTACTCAAAAACTTTCCATTCAGATCCCAATAAAATTACTCTAATACAGTAGTCAATTTTGCTATTCTGTATTGGATATATGTATTTTTTTTTTACCTTTTTATGATTTATACATGCTAGGCTTGTAAACTTCTTGTTTAATGTATGTTCAATTGGATAAAGATACCAAATTTTCCTTTCCATTTCCATATTGGATAGGTTCTGCTAGATACAGGTTAATTACATTACTTTTTGCAAAATATTCAAGGGATCAAAGAAATTTTCCTTTAAAGACAGGTTTTCACTATAAACAGGTTCTGTTACATACAGGTTTGACTGCATATATATATATAAATAACATATTATTTGTCAATTTTTAATAATTTCTTCCTGCAATTTTTTTTGTCAACAGCTTTTGGGTACACTGTAGATTTTGTATCTTTAGTTCAAAATTTCCTGAATGGAACTTTTTAACCACACACATTTGATATATTCAAAGTTTAGGGGTATCTTCTCCATATAAAATACAATTTTTTTTATTGATCTTTTCCAAAACTCAAAGTACAATATGCCTGATGTTCTTTTTATCTAAAGATATTTCAACTTGATTTTTTCAAACAAAATGTTAAGTAAAAAGTTTTCAAATAAATTTGTGAACAAACAATAAAATCTTGCATTAGCAATAATGTGTTAAATTTCACAATTGTTATAATTAAGTCACACATCTGTGTAAAGTAAGAACAGCTGTTAAAAATACACAAAAAATTTCTGTTTGACCCAATATAACTTTTACTTATAAACCATAGCATTTAAGAAATAAGAGGAAGGTTGTAATATCTAGGATTGAGGTGAAAAAGGAACTTATTGGAAAGCATTTAAGCAGTACACCTGTGGCAGATTGGATGGTCATGTTTAAGATGTTGAAATTCACAATATGAGATCAGTAAATGCAATTCTCATTTTATTACACAGTATTTTATTTATTGTCTTCATGTTTTAATCTATTATTTAAAGCATTTAATTGTGCTATTTTTACCTTAAATTATGTGTATTTGCAGTTTTAAATTTATAGAAATGAGTGTTATATAAAGTCTGGGAATGAATTAATTCACTTTCCATTATTTATTAGCTAATGGTAAAAATTGAATTGGAGTTAGAATGGCCTCCTGGAATGAATGAAATCTAAAGTACAAGGCACCACTACACAATTATTTGCAGGATATCTTGTAAATTTTCAAAATAATTTGTAAAATATTACAAAATTAATATTTAATATAGTCAATACATACCTTTGAAACATACATAGTATGAAATAATAAAGTAGTTTTCAGCCATTTTAAATATTTTATACGATTCCTAAAAATTAAAATACAAAAATATTTAGAAAAGTTTATCAAAATTAATATCTCATAGTTTTACTTTTTCAAATGCACACAAATAATTTTAAGATTAAAAACTCAAATATATTTAATCACAAAATTAAAGGATCTTAATTATAAATATATTTTTATATTTGTTTACATTTATAGTACAAATTACATATTCAATTCAATTCTTTATTATATGAACCTTAGTTTGTTACAAGAGAGTTATAGTATTACATGAAAACTGAAATTTGTACAATTTAACAAATTAATATAATAGACAAATAACACTCCGAAAACCCATTATAACAACAAAGCCAACTGCCATTTACAGTAAGTATGCTGTTGTGGATTTGAGTCCTGCTCTAGACTGCTCTAAAATACAGTAATAATCATTTTTATACATATTATATAAATCTCAAATTAGTAAAATTTTAAAAATTAATTAAATAACTTTGTTTCAGATAACACAAAATAAAATACATAAAAAAAATTTTTCAAAAAATTATTTTTTAATTAATTGAATCTTTCCAGGATTTAAATCTTATCAAATACTTTTTCCTGTTTGTTTCAAATTTGATACAGTGAAGCAAATTACATATTAATTACCCCTTCTGAGCCGCGCTCGAGTCTGACTCGAGCAAGGTTTATAGCGTTAAAAAAACTGGGCGTTTGGGCCCCCCAAAAAATTTGTTTTTTTTTTCAATTTTTGGAATGTTTTTTAGGTCCCCAAATTTTTTCAAAATTTTTGACCCGCGCGAAAAAATTTTATCGCGATTTTAATGAGCCTTATCAAATCGCAAAAAATCGAGCCTTTGATAAGGCTCGATTAAGGCTTAATTGCTTTTTAATGTTTTTTTAATGGGAGTTTTTTATCAAAATTAATTAATCGTTCTAAAGTTGTAGTGCACCAATTTTCCTTCGGTAAAGTTATTTAAAGCTGCTTTCTGATGTCAAAAACGACCTCCGATAGTTTTTTAATTTTTTTAATTAATAGATTTTATTATATATAAGTTTAATTAATTAGGGGGG